AGAGGGGAAAAATAAATAAATAAATAAATAAATAAATAAATAAATAAATAAATAAATAAATCAGAAAAAGAGTACAGTGCAGTTCAGGGGCGGTTCCAGGGTCAGGGCCACAGGGGCATTGGCCCCAGCTGAAATCTGATTGGCCCCCTGAGGTGCCCCTGTCCTGTCACTCATCTGTCCTTTGCCAGAGAGCAATGAAGTTGGGTGCAGTTCCATGCCCAAACACTAGAGGCACTAATGAGTCTAACAGTAAAGTCCAGCATGAATCAGTCTTACAGAAGTCTTCTCTTCTTCAAAAGACTTCAACAATATTGCAAAAAAAAAAAATCTTTCCACTGACAAACAATGTTTTCATTTTCTCACATGCTTTGAGAATATCTTATCCATGTACAGTAAAAATGCATGTATTGTTGATGAGGAGAATTTAAGCTTTTTTAAAAACATTACATTACGTTACAATTGTTGGATCATATGTGACCGGTTAAATTTATGCACCTTACCAAAACCGAGCATTTAAGTGCAAGGATGTTGAACAAATACTTGGCCCCTCTATGAATATTGTGGCCCCTTGATGGCCCCTTACTCAGAAAAATCCTAGATCCGCCACTGGTGCTGTTACACTTTACACCAATAAAATACATTAAAATACATGTCCAGATTATATTTCATTGTTCACGGTGTTGTTCTTTCAGCCAGTACTTCAGTTTTGTTGTAAAAAGTCTCATGTCTGACAGTGACTTTAGATCCTGAGGCTTTTTGACTGAGGACCCACTGACCCCAGTTCTTGTTCTCACAACTTCAGTGTTGTATTTTCCTATTAACTGACAAATTACTTCAGGGGCAGGACCATTAATACATTTAAATATTGTTTCACAAAAGGAAAAAGTAAGAAAATGATCTGGCATTGATGCCACTTCACTGGTTTCTGATCAAATACTTTTAGGGTTTGCTTGTAGAATGAAATTATTGGCTTTATGACAGATTTGGAGGCCTGGCCCCAGATGATAGAACAGTAAGACATATGTGATAATACCAATACAGTAAGACATATGTGATAATACCAATACAGTAAGACATATGTGATAATACCAGTACAGTAAGACATATGTGATAATACCAATACAGTAAGACATATGTGATAATGCATGCTTATACATTTGAGCTGCTTTGCTAGGTATACAGGGTCTTATCAAACAAAAACAGTTTATGTTAGTCTTGATAGTTTTGGACATTCTTAAAATGAGAAACAAACTTTCATTTGGAGTCTGCAATAACCCCCAGATATTTGAACTTAGATACTTCCCTGATTTCCTGATTGTCCACATTTACTTGAAACTCTTTGTGTTTTTCTCTTTAAAGAAAAACACAATGAAACCGTTTTTGTGTCGTTTAAAGTTAGACAAAGTTAGATGATAAATATGACCTCAGATTAGAGGTGATCATTTGAGCTAACGCTTTTAAAGCTTCCTTTTTCTGCACTTCTCCTTATGTTTTTTTCAATTCTCTTTGTTTGTTGGTTTCCAGAGCGGAGAAGAAGGAGAGGTCGAGGCTAAAGACAGTCAGAGTGTCAAGGTCTCAGGAAAGATCGGTGAGTCTCCCTTTTTTTCATACAAGGAGAGAAGCCGGAGCCATTTAAAAAAAAGATTTTAATTTTAGGTGAAACATCCTTTTGTTTAAAGAAACACTGGTACTGTTGTCAATTTGCTAACTGATTATTTTATTGCATTTTCTACACACTGATGCAAAGGATGCAGTCTGTGAAATTACACAAGAGCAACTTTTAATATTTTCACAGATTTAAAGTAAACATATGGTGCTTTTAAATCCTTTATTATCACATTTAAATCATTCAGCTGGGGTCTTTATGAAGTGGAACTACAATGTTTTGGTCTGAATTCCTTCCTATTGTAGCCTTACCAGCCCCTTTTTCACCATTTTTCTGAGATGTCTCAAAGTTGCTGGTTTTGTTACTGTTCCTTTAAGATGCTTCAAGCCCCGCCCCCCTCTGGCTTCCAGACCGGTCCACTCCAGTGTAAGAGAAGGGGTTATGTTTTGTAGCTCGCAGAAATGTTTTATTTACAATTATTTAAAATACTGTATGTCAACAAGAGAAGACTTGTTGATCCAGCCTTACAGAGTCTGACCCAGAACCAGAGGAGAATGAAGACGAGGAAAATGTAGTTTTTTAAGCCCAGACCTAAACTGGCAGTCCCGTCTCAGATAATTTGATGTAATAGACTCAGAAAATGTCATAGAAAATAGAGAAAACTGAACAGGGTAAAAAAAAATCTGACCCAAACAGAATATAAAGATATCTCTGCAGCCCAAGGAGAGACTAAATTCAACCTTTCTGCTTCCTGGAGTCTCCAAGTCCACAACAAAATGTATTTAACAGCTAAAAAAGTGGATTTTGCATGATACGTCCCCTTTAATATTAGTGGTGATAAGAAGTCTTATTGTGTCAGTGCAGTCTTTTGTCAGATTTATAGCTCAATAACATAAATGTCCTTTATGACTGACGACATTAGCAGGTTACAGTAAGAAGCAATGTAAGACAAAGTGCAGTTTGTTCATTAGACGTTTGAGAGCTACAAAGTTTCAGGCTAATTTTACAGACGAGGCAACAACGTGACCCTAATCACACATAACGCAGCGTGATGATGAGTGCTGACACACATTTAACACAAGCTATTGATATCCCTGTGTTGTCACCTCGCTCTCACTCTCCTGCTTTCTTCACGCTGTGAGGAGCGGCGCGGCGTGATGGAACGATAATTAAAACCGATCGCACACAAACACTATCCGTCTGTGTGTGTCGTTTGTGTCGTTTCCAGCAGTGCTCCCGCTGATAACAGACACGCTGTGGTTTGATAATTTTCTGCAGAATGATTTATCCTCTCACTTTCTCTGTCTCCTTATAGGACCAGGATGAGAAAGGTAGGTAACCTCACCGCCGCTGACACCTGCTGGTCACTTTGTGGAACTCCAGCTCCTGCACTTTTCACAAATCTTACACTTTCACAACCTAACGTGCAAATTTGCAGCATCCAGACACATTCACACCCTTTTATAAATAAATAAATAAACAAATAAATAAATAAATAAATAAATAAATAAATAAATAAACAGTTGAACAGGAGGATAACTTAACCCACCAGGTGTAATTTTGTTTGTGGCCAAATCATTTCTGTAGATTCCCCATCATTTTCTAAAAGTTTTCAAAATAAAAGCGGCATTACAGTTTGAGAGTGGGGATTTATTGGGACTGATTTTCTTTTTTAATTCATCAGGAGATGCTGTAAAAATATGTATGTCCTAAACAAAGTGTGTAACCTTTTTTTATTTTTTTGAGACTGTGGCTGTGTCCAAATTCAGGCCTACCCGGCCCAGGTTAGTCTGGCTCTTGCCTTCCTACACAGTTACGCTCAATTCCAGTTTCCCTTCACTGCTCCATCTGGGATTTCTCCCATAGACAAGGATTTCGCTGGCAGATTTTTAGCCGAACCAATCAGAGAACAGAACGTCGATTTTTTTGCACAGTGTCTGCTTGTAGTTTATTTTACCTGGGCCAATGAGCAAACAGGAGGAAGAGTTTTGAATGACGTCGATTTTCTGTGCAGTGTCTGCTAGTTATTTTAGCATACGGCAGTGGAGGAAGTGAATGAAGCCTGTCCGTGTTGATAAGGCTTCCAAATTAAAATAAATTTGTCTGACAAAGCAGCAGCTCTCATTTACAGTCGCCTCGTTTGGCTCGGTACTTTTCTTCTCTCAGTAGGGTTGTTTACAGCACACACGATTTCCGGTTAGCTTCTTAGCTTAGCCTCCTTCACAGCAACACACACACACACACTTCAGCAGAGGCCACGCCTCCTGCAAGAATCACTTCTCTATAGCCGTGAGTCCAGACCCTCGTATGAAGCAAAGTGAAGGACAAGTGTCTGGTTTTTACCAGGATAGGTCTAGGTGGGCCAAGTCCTTGTCGACCGCGAAGACCGGAAAAAAGTGGCTGTGAATTTGGACCGTCTAGTCCAGGAATGGGCAATCCTGGTCCTCGAGGGCCGCAGCCCTGCATGTTTTACTTTTTTCTCTGCTCAAACACACCTGATTTGAATGAACGGGTGATTATCAGGCCTCTGCAGTATGGAGGACCGAAACTGACATAATTAAAAATAAAAGCGGAAATATATAAATTGACTAATAAATTAATACACTCAAAGTGCACCAATAAAATTCAAAAAGGAGAATTTTATTTAAAGTATACATATATACTGTATATATATA